CCAGTAGCTAATCTCTCAATAAGGCGGTTTCCAATTGGCTCTAACTGTTTTGAACACTGCCAGATGATTGGCTCCTAAAAAAAGGAAATTGAATATGCAGCTCGGGTAAGCAGACGGTAGTATTTCGTCGCATGGTGTAAGAACTACAACGTCTGTGAGCAGGCTAATCAAAACGCTGCAATTTATGTTTGGAAGAAAAATTTTGCATTTTGAAAGACATAAACAAAGACAATTTACTCAATAAAAGAAGCGAAATTTTCTGCAAGTGTCGTCACAAAAACCAGTTTCGAGTAAACAAGGTCGTTACCAAAATTTTATGACCCAAGCATTGTTTCGCCTAAGCACTGTTTCGCCTAAACATTAATTGTTTCGCCTAAGCATTGTTTCGCCTAGACGAATTCCGCGCATTCTTTCGAGAGCATAAAAGCAACCTATATGTTTTCGAAATTTCTCACCACCTGATGATTCCTATACGGATGAAACAGACTGTTGTGATTGTTTTGAGGTAAAACGAAAAACTATATTACGCTCTATCTATATGGTATTGAGCACTGTTTGTGTTTCGTAAACCAAAAACTTAAGCTATATATGTATATATGTATGTATATTATCTCTATTAAGTACCCTTAATTTTTTATTATATTAAAATTTTTAAATAAAGAAGAAAGCAAAAGTATTTGCATGGGAGAATTTCAGACCTGTTTTCTAGGAACATGTATCTCATTGATGTTTTCCTATGGGGTTTCGATGGCGAAGTGGTGAGCGCACTTGCATGCCTTTCATATTTAAGGCCGCAGATTCAAATCTCAGTGAGAATATCTCAATGTGTCTCAAACCCAGTCCTAATGTGAAAAGAGTAAAATTCAACGCTCTGCCGAAAGTCGTGGGATTTCTCCGGGTACTTCGGTTTCCTCCCACAGGGAAAGTTGACAGAGTGGGTTAAACACATAGGTCAGGAGGGCAGATCATTACACCCATTTTCAAAATTACGCAACCTCCCTGAAAAATACTCTTACTCAAATGTCAGTTTTATGTCACAAAAACTGCTAAAAATAGCGAACGTAAACAAACTGGCAAAAGACATTTTAAATCGTATTTAATATGACCAAAACTGACCAAAAGAGAGCTGGATAACTTAGATAAACTAAAGCACCATACAAACCATCACAAAAAAATATGTGCCGTGAATAACTTTTAAAGTTTGAAAAAATAACAATTTATCCTGGAATTTAGCTGTCCGTATAAAACACGCGCGCTAGACTATAACGATATGTTATAATTTTGTTTGTGCTTAAATTTTGCAATAATTCTCACTAAAATATCTTGAAAATCATTGTAAGCATGTTTATATAAAGCATACACATCGACAAGGAACCGCAAAATTCAAAGTTTAAATTTCGTGACCGAATGACATAAAACTGACATGTCAACTCTAGCATTTTCGTCCTTGGTCGCGTAATTTTGAAAACGGGTGTAATGAACTATGGACTAATAGCAGCTGCTTAAAGCACCATTTGTAAGCTCACAGTCTACCTCTGTCTGCTTCACGTCAGTTCCAGTTCTATCTATTCACAATGTAACCAGTCACTGAAAAAATAAACCGATAAGGAGTGTGCTGTGCAATATCTGTATCTGTAATTTCCTTGTATCAGATTTTTCATGTTCTTTTTCTTGGTGTCATTTTTACTCAGAAAGTCAGCCAACATGTCTGTGCAGCCGTATTCTGATGAAGAGCTGAACTACTTCAAGTTTGCGTCGATTGTCCTAAACAAATTCCCAGATGCTTTGCGCAGTATCTTTGTAGACATGTGGGACACCAAAGTTGCATCAAGTTCCACAGTTTGGGATGACTCGTCTCTTGTACGCAATATACTCTACAACAATGAGGCTCCGAACACAAAAATCCCCACGAACAACTCATTTAAAGAGTGGGACTGCACTGCACTATTTCAAGCCACACTGTATGCAAGAACATTTGCGCTACCAGACAGCACAGGAAAGAAAAAGACGCTGGGAGAAATATATTTAAAAGGACGAAAGCCAGCCCCTGCTCCATTCCACTCTACCGTGTGGAGCCCGAGCGGAGATGCAAATGAAACGATTGCACTTGCCATTGACCAGCTTCGTCTTTTACGAAACACCCTTTGTCATACATCCAGCCCTCAAATTAATAAAGTCACGTTCGATGACTATGTCAAGCACGTCAAAGACGTGTTCACTGCTTTGAATTTTAGCACGACATCTCTGGAGAGGATTGGCAACATGAAAGAATCAGATTTTCCTACAAAGGAAGTTGAAAAACTCAGTGAAGAAATCAATCGTCTGAGAAATAACTACGTTCTGTTTCTTGAAAGCGAGGTTATAGATGAAATGAGTGGAATGAAATATGAAACGAGTGGAATGAAAGATGGAATGAGTGAAATGAACCAAAAACTGAATAGCATTGAAAGAGTATTAACACAGACAAAAGATAGCACAGGTATGTTGTTTATGTATAATTACACCTTAACAATTGATTTTCGAATTGGAAAGCTGAATTTATACCATATGATCAATAACTTATCGCTGAATTCCTCCAGCCTTTGTTTTCAGCCTCATATTGATCATAAGTTGATATGCCCCGCTCCTGTGGGGGTAATAGCGAACTTAAGCAAAGCTTAATCTAGTACGGGGACGTGTCAAGAAACCGCCTTCAATTTTACACTTTTATAATTATAAAGAACTACAAGATGAAGTGGGTGGAATCAAACGTAAAATAAGTGGAGTGGAACATGAGGTGAAAAGCATTAATAAGAAATTAACACAGACGAAAGAAACCACAGGTATGTTGTTTATGTAATATATTAGTTTAAGGTTTCCAGATTGATGCGCACGCAGTTATGAATATAATGTCCACAGTCACTTTTGTCACACCGCCGCACGACATGTAACCCCACTTCTATGATTCCCACAGCCTCTCCCCAAAAAATAAAAAATCCGTAATGCCAAAAAAGTTTATCGAAAAACACAGATTTTTGCGGAATTTTTTTTTAAATGGCATCATATAATTTTCTGTATATTGCTTGTAGTTAGTCCATCTTGTAAGTAAAATATTCCACGAAAGAAATTGGGGTCACCCATCACTGTGCTTCTTTCGTGACTACACAAACCAATAGGCTATTTTAGAGTGGATATCGTAAGCGTGTGTTGCCATAGTAACGAACTCCCACAGCCCCCAACCCCCCACAAGGGACAGTGGCACAGTCTAGACCTGCGACCATTAGTTGACTAGCGGGATCGATTGCCAGCAACCACCAACGGGCACCTTAAACCATTATATGGTTTTACTTTACAGATGCTTTTGTTTCGGAAATTAAAATAAATCTATCTTCCGTCCGTCCGTCACCCGGCCCGTCTGTCTGCCTATTCTATTTTTCATTATTATTTTCTTTATTTGTCCCCATGTTTCTTTGTTTAGATCAATGTACCACGACGTCGAACTCCGAATTCAAAGAATTTAACGATGTTCTTTTGCTTACAGTGGACAACACGGAGTTTAACGAAGCGCAAAAAATATTAGAAAATGTCAAAATTCCCAGCAAGAAAGACGAAAGTGAGAAGAACCGTTGCTTTGGAGAAATCGGTAGAAATAAAGTTACGCTCTTGAATGTTACAAACTTCGACAAGACCGGCGCTTCGTCAGCTCATGACGTTCTGGTTTATGAAACAATCCAAGAACTTAAACCGAAAGCTATTGTTAGTCTGGGAGTTTGCGATGGTGTAAGGAAAGAAGCACATTTCCTTGGTGATGTCGTGGTGTCATCACAAGTTTACTTTCTTGAACAACAGGATGACGGTTTGTCGAATTTTGATCGTACACCGTATGACTGCAATTTGGGATTGGTGCATTTGTTCGATCATGGGAAATTTGCGTGGGTTGGTCCTTGTGAAAATGTGGTAGTTCCAAAAGTCCATATTGGTCTGTTTACGACAGGTTTACAAGATGGCGACAACAAAAAGAGAGATTCGCACAAAGCCGGAACCATTGGAGTAGACACAGCGTCAAAAAGTAGGTTTACTAATGCGAGCGATCGGAATAATTTCCTCGTAAAACTGGAAAAATAAACAAAAACTGTTTGCTAAATTTAATCTTGTCATTTATCAAAATTTAATGCGTGGAGAAAATGGTTGTGCAGTTTGTGCAGTAAGAATAATTAAATAGACAGGGTCTAATGAAAAGACACAACCAATTTCATAACTAATATCATTTTAGTCAATTTATTCATTTCATCTTGGTAAAAACACTGCCGATTAAAGATTAATTCGGATGAATACGAGCCCGCGTCCATTTCGCACGGTCACGTGAGTGCAGAAATTTTAAACACAAAATCTGAATAAACAACGCGAAAATTAATATTGTTTGAGTTCAGCCTAGTCCCAGTCGTTCTGAAGGAAACACGAGAATTAAATCGCGGATATAGTATGAGACTGGGACCTAAGGTGCAACACACCCAGGCATAAAACTTTAATAGAGTAAAACTTATTTATAAAACATATCAAAGCAGCGTTCAGCGTGAGAGCCTGGGACTAGGCTGGTTTGAGTTCTTATTTATGCTCAAATACAGAAGACATGGAACGGTAATAAAGATTATTTGCAGTTTTTATAGGTATGAATTGAAAATTAATGTCAGAAATTACTCTCAAAATTGAAATTACTTTCGTTCAACGCACTCGCGGTATTATAAATATTTCGCCAAACACGCGTTATTTACACTATTCAAAAACACATTTTCAAATATTCAAGATGCCAGTGCCTAGACAGGGAACGAATCTTCAAGTATCTGATGACCAAGGCTCTAACCAGAGGCTCGTGGAGAGCTAAAGCTCGTCAGAAAGTTAACAGAAACTTGTCTCCTTATCGGGCTAACGCTCTCGTATGTAAGACATGAAAGCCTTCGAGTTCCAATCTTTCCCTAGAAAAGTCAAGGATTATAACCTCAATTTTATCGTTTTAAGGTGTATATGCAACTTGTCAGAACTCCGGAGTACCGTGGCTGTCCTGTAAATCTATTGCAAAATGGGCAAATGATGAATGTCAAAATTTGACTTGGTGCCAATTTGGTGCGGCAGTTTCAGCTTCTTACGTTCAACACGTGCTGAAGAGATTTTATATTCCAGACGAAGTTCAAGGTATGTACACGGTCACCAAATTTTTCAGTAGAGAATAATATACGCAAAAACACCCTGAGTAAAAGTTTCCTTGCAGTTAGTTTAAAATTAACTCTGCTTGAGTTCACGTAATGTTCCTGGATGAACTCCCTGTTCAATTTAACCACGGTCCACGTTAATTTGATCACTATTGTTGCTAACTTAACCAAGACTCCTGGCTCATTTAACAAGGTTCTTTGGTTTAATTAACCGGATCATGTTAGGCTAAGTGGATTCCTAACACATGTTTAATACATGCAAGCATATAACCTGGTAGAATCAACTAGCGACCCAGGTTAACCAGGGTGTTTTTAGAATGTACATGGATGTGTGGAAATATGAAATTGATTCGGAGTGTTGACCAGAATAGCTTTGTCAACACGAGAAATAAATTTTGTATTTCCGAGCGTCCATGTATTGTTCGGTTTAGCATGTAAAATAAGTGCCCTGTTACCTTGCCAATAACATACTGAAGACTATTTTTAAGAGAATAGTCGTGGAGTTGACGTAAGGTAGAAGAGAGTTTCACGCTTTACCGTACGCGATCATTAGGCAACTGACAGATATTATTCGATATTCATAAAGTACAGGTTATCATTTTACAACTTGATAAAGCAGCTCTGACTTCTTTTCCAAATGCAGACATGTAACCAGATACCTGCTTAATCAAGTAGTAAAACGATAATCTGTATTTTATGAATATCGAATAATATCTGTCAGTTGCCTGATGATCGCGTAAAGCGTGAAACTCAGAGTAGCGACGCAAACATTCAACCTTGACTGAATTATATATATATATATATATATATATAACTACAGACGGTACCGTTTCGGCCTAATGGGCCTCATCAGTGTAGTGCTGATGAGCAGGATGAAAGTAACTCTTATTTATAGTTACCTTTGATGCCTCACGATTGTGGGACATCAAAACCATGCCAGAGCGCT